CTGGTGCCAGGTTGGCCCTTTGGCAGGGTGGTTCGGGACACTGCCAGCGGTGGCAGGGGCTGCAGGTTCAAGTCCCTGATCGGCTTGAGTCCCCTGGCTGCCATCTACTACGCAACCGTTCCCCCCTCCGGCGCTTGCCTACTAGCTGGAACTCAGGGGTGATCGCGGTTGCAAGTCGGAGGGGACTTGAAGTTGTAGCTCAGTTGGAAATGTCCTGAACCACCCGGCGGCTGGCCGGGTTTTTTTTGGCCCTGATTCTGGGGTGCAGAGGCCAAAACAGGAAATGCCCTGACTTTCAAAGTGCAAAAAAAACCCCCTCTGCTGCTCCCCCAGATAGTTACAGGGCCAGGCCCCCAGCCCACCTTTCCCTACAGCCCCCTTCTGCACACAAGGGGCCAGAGGGCTCCAGCCAGGCTAGGGCTTGAACCCACAACCTTTGCTACCTAGACTAGCACCCTTACCACCACAGTACCAGGGAAGGTGGGAGCTCCTGCTGCCGTGGGCCCCTTGAGGCGCAGCACCCAGGCCCCGCCATGCAACGAGGACAGCACCTCCCTGCAAAACAGGGGAGGCTGGGACCTGAACCCAGGTCTTCAGCACCTGCACAGAGAGGCCCAGCACCACGCACCACAGGGCCTGCCTGCCTGGCTCAGCCCCTCACTTCTGGGCCCCTTGACTCGTTCCCTGCGCACACGCGCTGGCCCCACGACAAGGCCAGTCCCGGGAAGGCCGCAGCCCAGCCAGCCTCGTGGCCAAGGCGCTGCCAGGCCGGGCCTGCAGGTTTGACTGCGCAGGGGCGGCATCCCCTGGGCCCGGCTTTTCCTCTTGCTTTGCCCACCCGCTGCAGGCCGAGGGCCATCATATTTGCCAGGCCGGAGAGGACTTGTTGCAGCCGCCCGTGCTCGAGGCTGGAGGCCGGGACGTTTGTTTGCGGCCACCGGAGCTGCCTGGAAAGAGGGACGCCGCGCGCACGTCCCCGTGGGCTGCGGGCACCGGTCTTCTCCGGCTGCTCATGAGGGACCGCTGCGGGGTCCCAGCTCCTGCGCGACCCCAGCCCAGGGGTGCAGGGAAGGGGGGCGCGGAGGCCTCCAGCCACAAGGGAATCGGGACCCCCAGCCCGCGCTGCGCAGCACCGTGCCCCGGCCCCGGCTCTGGGGGAGGCCTGCGCTGGGGGCGCTGGACAGCCGTGTCCTGAGGAGCGCGGACACGCGGGGACCCAGGCAAGGCCGCCTGCCCAAGCACCCT